CGGGAGGAGGAGGAGGGCAAAAAGGGGGGGGGGAGTGGGTGAACGAGCTGTCTGGCTAGGGTTTAAACCACCACAATCCCAGTCTTAGATATGTGTTTAATTATCACATTACAAAAGTGAGTATCAACTGACACAAATATTCAAGATCAAACATGTAACACCACCTTCTTTACATTCCTGTAATCTCGATATATGCGATTATTTACTACTTTACAAAACACCTATTAGTATTATATCTATACAACTAAAATCAGCCCTGAAGTATAGGTAGATTAATGAAATACTAAAATTTGACAGAAACTGGAAGATAAAGCTCCGATTAAAATATTCTAAGCAAGAAGACAAAAGGCTATTAAGAAAGAAGGCAAGAGCAGCAATTCACATCAACATCACATTTTGAGTACATACTCCTAACATCACTGAGTGGACTTCCCAAGCCAATTCACCCTAAGATATACAGTCACTCTAGGATATCCACATGCTGTGGCATCACACCAAAGGTGGTCAAAAGTCCATTCCACACATTTTACATATGCACACTTCCACCCTCATGCTCTCACACTTGGAAAAAAGCTAGTGAAGAAATCTGGGGAGGATTTGCTAAACTTCCACAAGCAGAAAATAAATGAAGCTAATGAAAGCTGGACTTTTATATAGTGCACTATAACACTGTGCACTATTCTCCTCAAAGACTTACTGAATGACACTGAAAAACACCGTGGGACAGAAGCACTGACAAAGCAAGCAGGGAATTCTTTTCAGACATTTAAGATTCCACAGTAATGTCATATATCCAAAACTTTCATAACTGTACAATATCTATGGGTTCAATAAGTCAGTCATCTGGAAGTGCACAGTATGGAAATCTGGCTCTTCCTCTATTATCTACCATATATACTTTTTCACCACTATAAAGCAATACCACATGGCCTCTCACCTGAAGTACTGCTTAAAGACAAAAGGAAAAACCCTACTCCACAAGAAAACAGAATTTTGAAAAGTTGATCTTGATACCTGGATTTATGCTTTTGTATTTAAGTTTTCAACACAATCCTCTCTCCATACATCCACACATCATCACCTGGATTTTTTTTACATACAAAACCTCTCTCAGTGCAAATCTCCATTTAAGGAGAAATAACTCACAGAAGACCTGAATTAACCATTTTGATTAATCTTTTCTCCAACTCAAAAAATACATAAGCAGTATGTACACAGCACATGCAAATCCATCTATTATAACCAAAATCAAGTGCTGTTATCTTAACTGTTAACTAGTGATATGTTATTCTTTTTCAGAAGCTTGGATGGCTGCATTCAAAGTAAAATCATACCAAGTAGATTTTATTATTTCATGCAATTTTAGATGTAGTCTTGATTCAAGACAAAGTGCTTTCTCTTCAGAACACAAGCCACTTAACTTCTGCTTTCTTATTTTTCCACCCTATTGTATGGATTCACCTCCACCACTTCTCATCGATTTAAGAGGTCAATACTGAGCAGTTACAGGACCAGCTCACAGCCTTCTACAGCAATTAAGGTCATAATGGACAAAAAGCTATTCAGTGTTAAAGAGCACTGTAATCTTTTCTTCTTCTTGTGTCATCATCTTAATACTCTTCAAACAAAAGCCTTCAAGTAAGCTACAATGTGATATAACTCTCCTACCCAATTCCAGAAGAGGAATCCTGCAGTTCCTTTAAAGCACATTGTTACCAGCAACAATGGAAGTTGTTCCATAAAGCTATGACCCAGGAGAGGACAGTCTTCCTAAGAACCACAGTTTAAAAAAAAAAAAAAAACACAGCTTTGGATTCAAAACTAAGTTACAATTTTCACATAGTGAACAAATCCACTACAGGGAACTTACAGTATAGAATGTCCACCCCTCCAACAGACATTTTCATCTTCAGCTACTGTGCATTTGATGTGCATCAGAGAAACTGTATGCCTCTAACACACTAGTATATCCTGAAGCAGTTGAATTTAAAGCAAGGCTAGGAACAGGACAAAATGGATACTTTTGCCGAGATTGTCTTCTGAAATAATGTCTAATGCTGGCTTTAATTCGGGGGCCTAAACTATTTAGCCACACACAAGGAGACTTAAAAAGCCTGAAAATGGTCTCTCTTTCAGAAAGCAGCACAAAACAGATTAGGAGGTCTCCATAAAAGTGGTTTGAAGAGAAAAGAAAACACAAGTTCCAGAAAAGAAATGATGGCTCTGTTGTCTACCACAGCAAAACCTCTGTTTCCCGAGGCAACTGAACAGATTGGACCATTGCATCTGGAAATGCCGACTCAGTATGGCAAATGTCCAGCTACTGACTGTGCACCCTGACTTAACAGGAGCCAGTTTCTTCAGCAAACACAAAGAGAGTACCATTTCTGCGCTTGCTAGGTGTCTGTGAAAGCAAATTTTTGACAAACTCTTTCAGCAAGACATGCCAAGGCAGCCCTACTAAGAAGTGTTTTAAACAGTATCATCTAAGTAGAACAGAAGTTTATTAATAACCTTGTGGTTAAGTCTTAACTGAAAGCGGCATGAACAGTTCTGAACCCAGAGTTACACTAAAATTTAATCTATTTCTGCTTTCAAAGTGGTAGAACAAACCCATGTAAGGTTACAAACTGACTTTCCAGAAGAGTTTGGAAACAGGGGTCCCATGTTTCCAACCACACCACATATCTTACACATAAAAGCTTGTTTCCATCGAAATAGCTCCAAATTCATGTAACTGAAATCATAACACAGCTTTCATACAACACTGGAGGAAATAACAGAACAGGATGTGAACACAAGTTAGTTGTCAAAGCCTGACAACCACTACACCAGCATTTCATCTCACGTTATTTTTACCCATCTCAAAGGGAAAAAAAAGCCCATTTGTTATAACTAAAAAAATACCAAAAAAAAAACCCAATAACATACCAACAAACAAATCAAACCTCGAGGATCAGGGATGCATTAGCATTTCTTTCTATAAAAATCAGAAAGAAGATGATCTTCCCCTTGAATCATTTGCCATAGCACACAGCAACATCTTTACCCCATCACATACATATCTATTCATCATAAACCACTTCCCAGTTCTGCATACTGGCCAACTAGGTGGAAAGGGGGATGAGGAACATCAGGCTGTATGTTCCCTGTCAGAACAAAGCAGGTAGATATAATTACCAAAGAACAAAAGCAAAGACAAGAGACTATTGGTGACTTAATGAGTCACCAATAAAGTCTCACTGAACAAAATACAGTAAGAGTTAGGGAGGGAAGCACACAACACTACTAGGAGAAAAAAGAAAAATAGGGAGGAGTCCAAGGTCACATTAGCCTACGGAAGAGCAGTTAAAGCAAGAACACTAGAGATGGGAGAATGTTCCTACATGGTTCAGTGGAAACAGGTGCTATGCAAATGAGAAAAGATGAAATGGCAAGAACATGAAAAGCTAGCAGAGAAGGTGGGGGGAGCAGACCACGATTTCTGACCGTTTCTGCAAGACCAGAGACTTAAACAACAGCCCAAAAAAATATTTTTATGTGCCAGCAGTTATCGGCACTGCTGGCAGCTAGGCACATCTGGGCACAGGGAATAAACTGCCGGTACCGAGCAGGTGGCAGCGAGCAGGATGGGTGTATCAGACAGAAAGAGAACAGGACTAACAACAGATGGGACAACGCCGCCAGAAAGAACGCTCGTAACAGAGAGCACAAGGAGGGAAAGAAGACCACGAAGATAGGGGGAACTGGAGGATGACTCAAAAGGGACTTGAGGGCTGTGAAGCCCGAGTCAGTGCGGATCCCCAATGAACAGGGGCTTCTGGAGACTAAGGGGAAGCCCCGCCGAAGGAGGCTGAGCCCGGGGCCACCGCTGGGAACGATCTCCGGTGGGAACCGGCGGCATCCCCACCCCCCCTGTGGCGGGCCCGGCCCCGGCGCGGTGCGGGCAGGGAGGGTGCTCTGCTCTGGTCTCCCCCGTCTGTCCCGGCGGGCGCGGGGGAACTCCCGCGTGAAACCAAAGTACCAGGGCCGGGCCGCCGGACTGCCCGGGCGGCCGCTACGTGGGGCGCGAGGGAACCGTGAGGGAAGAGCAGAGAGCGGCGGTGTCCCGGCGGGCCGGGGGTCCCCGTACTCACTTTTTGTGGGACGGTGGGTGCTTGTCCCTCCTGCCGGCCGCCGCGGACTGCTTGGGCCGCCGCCTGCGGGCCTGCAGCGCCAGCACTGCCGGGGATAAGAGAACAAACCGGAGCCGGCGTGAGTGGTGGCGGCGGCCACGCAGCCCCCCCGCTCCCTCCCCGCCGCCCGGGCACAGCGCGGTACCTTTGCGCGAGCTCATCGCCCCGCGCCGTACGCTGCTCGGCGGGCGCCGTTCCCCGGCTGACCCGGGCCCACTCCCGGCCCCGCTGCCACCAGCCGCGCCCGCACGCCGGGCACCGGCCGGCAGCACCGGCACCCCCGCCCCGCCGCACTGCGCAGGCGCGGACCGGCCGGCGGGGCAGCAGCCGGAAAGGCGGGGGCGGGGCGGCGGCAGGTGGCGGAGAGCGGCGCGGGGAAACGCACCTGAGGTACGGCCCGAGCCCGCCCCTTCAGCGCCCGGCGGAGGGGAGGCAGGGCGGGCCTGTTTCACTGCTCCCCATCGGCTGCCGCCGGGGCGGGCTGTGCCGGGTCGTCGAACTAACTCGAGTTAGTTTTGACAAGTTCTGGGTCATAGTGGGAGTAGCAAAGAGATCACCCTGCGGCTGCGCCATGCTGGGAGCTGTGAGAAGGGGGAAAGAGGTGGCTGTCCGCCTGTCTGGCAGCAGCTGGGGCGAGATCAGCTTTAGCTTGTCGCGAGACCTGTCTGGGGTTAGATGCCAGAACCAATGAACCTCATGACACAAATACAGGGAAATCAGATTTCCTTAATGCTGATTCTAAGTTACTTGGTTGTCATGATGAACCACTCTTGGCAGTTGTCTTTTTCCTGCCAGCGAAGTCTTGTTGCCCATGATAAAGAAACTCTCACTTCTTGAGTGTGCTGTGCACAGCATGGCTCAGTTTTTGACAGCATTATGATTGAAATTTTGTGTCGTCTATAACAACACCCAGTGCAGAAGATGAGAAGATGATCTGAGCCATATCAAACACTCCAGTATGAGTGTGAAGCTTGTGTAACTTACCTTCACTTAGGATTGGAATTCAGAGACATAGTAACTGAAAAATAACGGGACAGTCATTAAATTTTGAGCAGAACTGCCTCCCTGCATGGCAAGATGGAAGAATCTATAAGGATGAAGATCTAAAAGCAGCTGTAGTCAAGGTATTACAAGAGTGAAGGGAACTAGCAGTAATCGCTGGTCTTAAGTAATTGGATTATTGAGATCTCAATTAGACAGAAAATGGAATCCCTAGTTACGGTTAGCTCATCTTAGGAGTGGGAGAGGAACATAAAGATAAAGCTAGAGAACACAAAATGGAGGTACCACAATACCTAATACTTCGTTGTCTGCCTAGAGAGCCTAATGTACAGAAAACAATTGGACCATAAAGTTCCTAAACTGCAGCTCTCACAAGGCACCAAGAGCTGTATTTCTGAATCAAACATTTTGTGTCCCATTCTCCATCATAAAAGAGCACAGCAAAAAAAAACATTTCCAGTATAAACTGCTGGGGTAAGGTACAGTGTTGGTGTATTACCTGTCTCCCTTGTTGTGGTTAGTCTTTTAGTGATAACTCAGTGTGATAGGTCAGACAACAGAACACTGTATTGAAATTTTGAAGCCTTTCTGCTAAGAAAGTTTAGGTGCCTGAAATCTAATAATAGTTGAATATTTAAAAGATTATATATTTACCCTTTGTTTCCAGGCTAATCTTAACTTCATTGGTTAAGCTGTGCTCCTGCATGGATACTTGTGCTTGGACAAAAAACAGTAGAGACAAGCAGCTAATGATGGAGAAAATGGTGAGACTGCTTTTTTCTTTGTCAGGGCAGTGCTGGCTTAAAGTCACCTTGTAGCTATCACTGTAGAGCAGAAACCATATCAGGGTCCAATCATCTTTTCAGCTACTCACGTGCAATTCTGTTAACTTCAACAGGAGGTTTATATGTAGAACTGATTGGACAACTGGGTCTTAAGATTAATACAGTGAGCTTTGCTTACATCAACAGGATTATAAATTCACCAGATCTGGAGTCAGGAAGGAATTTCCCTCACAAACATAATGTCATCAACATAATCACAGCAAGGGAACAATCTGTTAGTGCACAGAGAAGGAATTATGTTGGGACCAGGTGGGTGTATCTACACAGTCACTTTCTTTCAGTTCTAACGGACACATATTTGGGGACTGTAATCTTCCTGGGTTTTCTTCCCCACCCCAATCCCAAGGAGCCACTCAGAGGACGGTCATGCAGAAGGGCAAAAAAATCACTGACACTCTATGTTAGAGGATTACTATGTGCAGTTAACTAACTGGTGAGTAAATTAAGGTCAGTAGAAGTATTTCAGAAAAGAATAACCAAAAAAACACCTTATTTTTCGGATTGTTTTGAGTGCAGCTCTCTTCCTAAAGAGACACTTATAAATAGGACGTGAAAAAAATTACAGAAATAAGAAGACTGTTAGGAATTGATCCACCCTGGATTACGTTTGAATCCACTCAGTGAAATTCTCCATCTTTATTTCTATATGTCTGATTGTATGTAACTTCACTTTTTTCAAAAATAACTGATGAATCAAGAGAGAAGACTAAATAGCAAAAGAAGGCATTTGTAAAATCTGTGTACAAAATAAAGCACAGTGGACTGGGTCAGAATGTATCTGCTTCTGGCTGTCTCACTTTGAACATAATATGGGAACAGGTGTCTGTTTTATTACAAGGATTACCACAGAGCTCACTCACTCTGAGGAAGGGCACTATAAGATTTAAGTGATATGACCTACACAGAAAGGAAGAACAACAGCAGAATTGGGTGATCTTAGGTGCAAACGACAGGGGAGGAGAAGGGGAAAATAGCAAATTATGAAATTATATTTTTACCTGTTTGTAATATAGTTTGGACCAGTTACCTGACACCCCACAGATGTTAGGTTTGTTTCCTTTTCACCTAGCTTTGAAATATCCCACACAAGAGGACATTTTAGCTTTTCAGGTGTGAATGGAATACATTTGTACAGAATAAAAAGTTACCTAGCAGCTATCCTGTAAACATGGTATTATCATCCTTCTGAGAATAATTCCAAATTCTTGCTTCAGCAGAGGGATGTTGGAAGCTTCTGCCCTGGTTTCTGTACCAGTTCCTTTCAGCACTGCTTTTCCCACTCTGTGGTGGCATGCTCTCTGAACTGTACTTTCTCAGAAATCAGGATATGAGCCAACTTCATGCTGCTCTTGCACAGAATGGAACAAACGAGAAATAACACATAAGGCAGAGGAAGGAAAAAAAATAAACAAAACCAGTGGGTGGTGGAAAAAGGAAAAAGAACAATGTAGTGAAAGGAAATTCCCAATTAAAGGCCAGTTCTCATTAATATGCAAGTCCAGCCTTCTCGTCTTCTCGCCTTTCATGGTTGTCTCTTGTTCCTTCAGTTCCCACCCCCATTCCACATTTCTTGAAGTGTGATACATTTGTGTAGGCACACAAACAATGTGTCTGTCCTTCTCTTGATCACTTAAAGAATTTTCTGGCTACCAGTGTGGTTTTTTTTTCTCCCTCTAGTACATAAACAAAGCAAAGAGGACAATTCTCAGCTTGCTTTTGAGCAACACAGACAACAAATTTACAGAGAGGAAGTATTGAGCAACAGTAACTAATAAGCTGGGTTTGCTTTTAACATCAGGACTGTTGGCTCATCACTGCTTAAGTATAATCAGTTAACATTAACTGGAGCAATGCACACGTTAAAGAAAAAAAAAATGAACTTGTTTCCTCAGTAGTGTAACGAGAAAAAAAAAATAGCAGGAAACATGAGATTTCCAGGATAAAACAGTTCAGAAATTCCTGAATTTAGATTCCTGGCTCATTCACTGTTTCACTTGTGCTCCTCCTAAAGCAAATTACATGACTCACCTGACTCATTTTCTTCATCTATAAAATGGCACAGTGTATGCCAGCTGCAGAGGGTTAACATCAGTAGAGAATTCTTGTTTATCAAGTTAATTGGTATTACTAATAAAACAAGAAATATAGAAAGGACAAAGCAGGCCAGTTTAACACTAATTCAAGATGAAATTAAAGACTTACCTATGCCCAGAAATAGCTGCATCAACCCAGATATGTATTGTACATTATCTAAAATAGGGCATGAACTGGCATGACTTAACTCAGATTTGAAATAGGATTAAAACACTGTGCAATATGTTTATGATAAAATTTCTTCTGGTGTTGAAGTACCCAGATTTCCAGAATGACTTGTTCTAGCTATCCCAGTTACTTCCAGCAGGCTCCCAAACATTCAGGTAAAATTCCTCCAGTTTCCTAGGTCTTTGTCTTCAATTTTTGAAATTTCTCCTGTTTCCCAGCTCTTTACTCAGCTTTCCCTTCTCATCTCAACCTTCCTCCTCTCTCTGTTCCAATCTATTACCCCTTTTTCCCCCTGTATTTAATTGGATGGTTTCTTCCTTCATGCTGATTAAAGGTCAGCAAGGGAAAAGAGGATCACTGAAAGATTAGTGGCTGCTCTCAGTTTTCTGATCAAACACAACACAAGCAATTACAGGGAAAGTTCTTCAGCAGTGATAACACAACATAAGCAATTACAGGGAAACTTGTTCAGCAGTGATGCAGTGGTGGTTTGGACTCATGCCTACTATTCCTCATGCGTACCACATTCTCTCTGAATGGCAGCTCTGCAGTCTGGTCATGCATGTGAGAGATTTATGTTACGTGATTGTGGAATATTTTGAGACTTAAGTATTAAATTCTCACATGTCTTTATCCAGGATGTGCAAAATGCTGGTTTATAGTTTCAAAATTTGGCCAAGTTTGAGAAGATTTTCAAAGAGATTGCAAAGGCACATCTTTGATATTAAAGCCTCTTTCTATGAAGTCTTAGCTTCCTACTCCAAGGTAGGGATTGCCAACCAGTGAGATGAGAATCCATTATAAATCACATGCAGGGCTTATCCAGTTTCCTTTTCTCTTGGCTTGGACTACACAAATAATAGTCACAATGAAAACAACAAGAGACCAACTGTAAAATCAAGTTTAATCTAAGAGGAAGCAACTGACTTATTTTCTCTTGAAGCATAAAGCTTCTTTCTTCTCCATAACCTCCCCTGTACTTTTCACTTGATAGATCTTTTCACAGCCTTCAGAAAAATCAAACACCAGCTGACTAGTAGGATGGTACTATGTTATGTCAGTAGTGCCCCAGATGTCCTTTCTTCACACATTCTTCAGTGTGACATTGCTACAACACCCTCACCAACACCTTTCTGAGAAATTAACAGCCATTACCCTGCAGCATCTCAGTGTTGCTTTACAAACTTTCAGATCAGGATGCTTTCTGAAAAAAAACTTCTGTTAGGGAAATGGGCAGTAAAGAAGCACTGGCCAAAATGGTTTGTTTGGGTATAGTTCAAGAACTTCATCTTGACAGCAGAGTGTATCCTGGTTTATAGCAAGCAAGCATTTGGTAAAGGATGGCTCAGGGACACAGGCAACATGCATTAGCAGCTACACTTACCAATACACTGTTGTTTACCATTAAGGCACAGAGCAGTGCCACTTTTGTTTAGTCTTGGCTAGCTGCTGGGTATGAGAAACTACTGTGCAAGAGGGGCATTTCCAACAAGTGCGTCAGGATTCTTTTAATACGATCAAAACAACCGTCTTTAGGAAGTATAAATGAATTCATTACTCAACATGGAATATTTCACCTCATATAATTAAAATCATACAAAGTTAACATTAACTGGATGTTACAAAGTGAAATGTCAGCCAGCTTCAATAGTCTTAGGCATTACTAGCCTGGTTTGTAACATGTGAACTAGCCATTCCATTTCATTCTGTCTGGATATGTCTGTACCATATCTATGCCATGTAAACTAGCAAAATTAACTTTTTAAAAGCAGGAAATATTACAGGTAATTGTTAAAATAAAAGCAGAACTGGTTTGGCTTGTTAGCCACCCAGCGTTTCCTTCTAGTCTTCACAAAGAGCATTCATAAATTAACCTTGTTACTTTAAAAGAATGGAACAAAAACTGATTATCCACTTCTAGGCACATGAAATTCCCTGTGCTCCTACAAGAAGACACGTAACAGCAAATATGAGTGAAAATATAATAAAGTCAGCTATGTTCATTCAAAGCACAAAGAATCCATTGCAGTTTGGCCTTGTGCATTGTTGTTTAGAAATTAATTCAGTGGGCTTGATATTTTGGATTTGATTTCATCGTGTTTTACACCCACTCTGCCATTCATTATAGTAACACAAATGACTCTGGTAGGAAATATTCACGTGCTTGCGCCTTCAGAGCTGAAAAATCTCACAATAAACATTTAGAATGTAAATATTGTTACCAAAGAGTGTGTCTTTATTACAGTATTTCTCAAGCTGGGCCTTTAAAATCAGTGCACTGCAAAAATGCATTCACACAATATGTACATCTATTTACAGTAACTTCTAAGCATCAGGATTTTTATCCACTTTCCAGAATATTCAGTACTTTACTAGCTGTGCTGCCCTGATACATAGAAGGATTAAGCACAAAACTAAAGGATTACGGCTATTTCCTTTCCTAATGAGGAAGAAATCCAATGGAGGACAATGATTTCTTCTTTGTCTAGATGCATGATTTCATCCTCTTTTGAAAATAAAGGCTTTTATGCCATTCAAAAACTAGTTAGGCATAGAAGTCCATTTTGTAAAATCTCCTCCTCTGTCTTAATTTATGCATTATTCTTAAAGTAAGAACATAATTGAAGAAAACAGCACAAAAAGCAGGATGGAAAGAACCAATTGCAAAATGGTAATAGACTGCAGATCTGATTAGTTGATTGTAGGATAGATCCAAATCTATTTGTTTACCAATATGCTCAGCACTATTTGCATTCAATAGAACAATACACTGTGCCATTTCCTTTGTGGTGGAAGCAAGAAATGATACTGTGAACTCAACACACTGCTAAATCCAGCACATACACTCACAGCATGCCTCTTACCACTGACAATCCAGGAGAAGAGAGTGTTGCTTCCTTTGTTGCTTCCTTTGAATTGTAGTTGAAATCATGTGGAAACATAAAGTTGTTGATGGTTTTGTCCACATACCAACTGATCTAATACTGCTCTGGTTCTAGCATCTTTGTCTTCCCTGTTCAAAACTTTGACTAAGGCTCCCTGCCTCTTTCTTTCCCCAAAATAATACATAGTTCAAGATCAAGAATTATGTTATAAACTGAAGTACCATATGAAATAGTACTGGGAATCTCCCTATAAGTAAGTAAAATATACAAAAATCTTATTTGCAGTGAAATTGATCATAGTCTGGATTCTAATGGAAATCTGCATCGCAGGCAACTATTCTCCTTTTCTCTAGGGCCAGCCTGGTCCTCAGGTAAAAGAAGCCCATCTGTCCAGGTGGCCTTCCATTTTGAGAGTTCATGGTTGACTATTACCCTTTAAAATACAGAATTGCTTAGACGGCTGAAGAACTTGGTGATGTGAAATATGTATCCCCTGTATATCACCTACAACCTGGTAAAGATCTGGGAGCTGCATCTTACTGGATAGGAGAGGAAACAGCAACTCAAGAAACAAGATTTGATTTTGTACCTTGTGTATTCTAACTTTCCAGTTGTTCTCTAAATTATTGGCAACTACTTTTTCCAGCTCCTTTTTCAGTGGGACTCAAGATGCACATTAGGCCCATGCCCAAGGCTATGTGCAGCAAGATCCTTGAATCTGTGCTGGTTTGTTTTGGGGTTTGTTTTTTTAATCTTTGCTGGATCAGGGTCCTTTTCACCAAATATGTATCTGATTTTGCCGACAGAGAGAAAAAAAGTATCACCCCTGTCACACTAGTATCATACTAAGCCTTAAATTAATATTTTATTTGCTTACTGTGCTGTAGAACAGATACAGGAAGTTCCCTCTCTCCAGCAATTTCACTGATCATTGTGATTTTCTCCTATTTCAATCATTTGTAAGACTTATTAAGCAGGAACAGGAAAAACATACAGCTAAACATTAAAAGGGCACTGAATTAGGATGCCAAGGCTAGCTAAAAATAAATCTGATTCTTATCTTTTTGGCTGGAAAGTGTACTGTGAACTAAGAGTGACAAGAGACCAAACACTGCAAGCACAAAATTATTTCTTCACTTAATAGAAGTGGGACTTACCAGGGACGGTCCCTAGAACCCGGCTTTAATGCCACTATCTATATAGCACTCACAGAATCCAGAAGATATAATGACAGGCACTTGGTTCTCGCTAAGCATATTATCCCAGCTTTGAATAAGTTTAATAGTTACCAGTTAAACCATGGCTAAATTGTTAATTGCATAGGTAAATTTTCACCAGTTGGAATTTATACTGGAACATATGTGCACATACCTACAGGAATAAGGTGCTCATGGGGGACAAGGAGACAGGGGATGATGCAACTCCTGTCCTTGACCAAAGGAAGAGTCATACTATGCCATCTGCTGTCCCCACACTAATACCTGCATAGGTTGTACTGTGGTGATGCTGTAATTCTATCCGTCCTGGTAGCTCTGTCATCAGTTCTGTTTCTATGTGAGTACATCCATGGTCTCTGTCCATTTGGTTGGTTTTGAGGTCTTCTCTATATCTAGGTTACCACTTTGCTACCTCTGCTGCAGGAATTCCCTATGGTACAGCCCTTTTTGCTCCCATCTAAAATCTGAGACAAGTTGTTCTGCCTCAAAGGCTGCCCATTGTGAATGGGTCAGTAGGTGCATTTTATTTTTCTAGCATTGGATTACTCTCTGCTTCATCCGTCCTCGAACTTACAAAAAGTAATTGTAAGAGTGTGCCATCCAGAATTATCTTCTTTTCTGTGCTCAACCCAGAGGATCACTAGAACATTGTACTCACAGCATTCTGGAACACAGCTGGCCCAGAGAATCTCTCTCTGTACTGCTTCAATCTACAGGGGTATGATATAATAGGCATCACAGAAACATGGTGGGATGGCTCCTATGACTGGAGTGTTGGAATGGAAGGTTACAGGCTCTTTAGGAAAGACAGGCCTGGCAGGCGGGGAGGGGGAGTTGCCCTTTATGTTAGGGATAGGCTGGAGAGTATGCAACTCTGTCTGGGGACAGGTGAGCAGTCCACAGAGAGTTTGTGGGTCGGGGTTAAAGGGAATATAGCTATGGGAGACATTACTGTGGGCATCTGTTACAGACCGCCTGATCAAGGAGAACCTGTGGATGAAGCACTCTATAGACAGATAGGAAAAGCCTCACGCTCGCAGGCCCTTATTCTCATGGGTGACTTCAACCACCCTGACATCTGTTGGAAGGACGGTATAGCCTGGCACAAGCAACCCAGGAGGTTCCTCGATTGTGTAGAAGGCAACTTCCTTCTGCAAGTAATAGAGGAGCCGACCAGGAGAGGTGCCGTGCTTGACCTCGTGCTCACCAACAGGGAAGGGCTCGTTGGAAATGTGACACTCCAGGGCAGCCTTGGATGCAGCGATCATGAGATGCTCCGAATTTGAGATCCTCAGGACAGTGAGAAGAGCGTGCAGCAAACTCACTGCCCTGGACTTCAAAAGAGCAGACTTTGGCCTCTTCAGGAACCTGCTTCGGAAGGTTCCATGGGATACAGCCCTAGAGGGCAGAGGGGCCCAAGACTGTTGGTTGATATTCAAGGATCACCTGCAGCAAGCTCAGGAGTGTTGCATCCCAACCAGAAAGAAGTGCAGCAGGAGGGCCAGGAGACCTCCTTGGATGGATAAGGAGCTCC